TTTGGGACTTCACATTGAGGTTGGTCAGATACAGCCCAATCCTGTAGGACCCTCCGGCCACAGGCAGCAGGAAAGCTGGTGGTGGATGCCCCAGGACAGATGGTTTCAGGACAAGCCCCACAGTCTCTGTGCTGGAACAACCTCACTTGCCATCGGATATGGGAGCACCTGGGTCACCTCTGGGCTCTTTGTGGGATGTTAGCAGCCTCGTTAAGCTGAAGCAGGACCTGGGAAAAAGAGACCCCAGAGACAGGCATAGAATCACAGACTGGTTTGGGTTGGAAGGGACCTTAAAGATCATCTAGTTCCAGCCCCACTGCCACGGGCAGAGACCTAGTTGCTCCAAGCCTCATCCAACCTGGCCTTGAACACTTTCAGAGAGGGGGCAGCCACTAGCTCTTGCCAAAAGCACTTTTCACAGAGTGCTTAATCTCTGATGGAAACCTCAGGAGGGACAGCAATCTGGCCCCAGGACCATTCTTGCCACCTTCCATGGCTCCTGCCCTGCCTCAGGGTACCCCAGACTACTCAGCCCAAAACCTGCCGTCACCTGTCAGAGGCTGAGCCAGGCTGATGCACGAGGTCCTGGCTCTACTGCAAGGACAGGCTGAGGGGAACCTGGGTGTACCCTATGGCTGCAGCCTCACCACCTTACCTTTCTGTTCAGCAGTACCAGGCTGTGTGCTTCCTGGAGGCTGAACCTTGCCATGCATGGGGGAAAGGCCCCTGCCACCCAGGACAGCTCCGGAGCAGGGAGCATCACCCCCACCAGCACCAGGGATAGCACCAGGTTCACCCTGCTCTCAGGACATACTTACCCAGGTGTCATGATCCCTGCTTCCATGCAGTGGTAAGACTGGGTGTGATTTCCAGCCCACAACACGTGCCCAGGGCACAGTCCCGACGCAGCAGTTATGTGTGGGAGCACAGCCAGAGCAAGCTCAGCCATGTGAGGGACCCCGCGCTGTGCCCTGGGCTGAGGGACCTGGGTGCAGAAGATGCAGCCCTTGCAGCAGTGGAGGGCGGTGGCGGCGCGAGCAGCTGCCTGCTTTTGTCACACTTTCCTTTGTCCCAGGCACATGGCACCAGAAGCAGGGAGCTGCAGCCATCTGGAGAGCAGGGACAGGGAGGCAGAGCCCCAGCTTGGCTACCAGGAGGATTTTCCAGCTTCAGTGGCGAGAGGACACATCCTTTGGCTGTACCTCTGCCCTGCCTCCCCGGCACAGGCGGGTGAACAGCTGGTTACGGCCTGCGGCAGCTCCTGCTTCCTTATCACACCAGGCAGGCAGCGGCAGGGCTGATGCCGGTTGGAGCCACCGAGCTGTGGGACAGCGTGGAGTGCCCAGTGGCTCACACAGCTGTGCCACCAGCAGCCACCCAGCGGGGCTAAACACCTCCATGCATCCCTGCAGACTATGCCCACAAGATCCAGTCCTGCCTCACCAGCCCCTCTCCTGGAACGGGCTGCCCTGAGCAGCTCTCCTCAGCTCAGCGTTTCACAGGCACCAGCAAACCCCTTGCCCAAGGAAAGTCTCCGTGTTGCCCAGAGCTTCCTAGGGAGAAGAGAGACAAAGCTCCAGTGCCAGCAGGCTTTCTTGGTGCCCCCGGCAGGCACAGACGGGCTGGCCGGAGTGGTGAGAGCCCCGAGCCGGGCTGGGAGGGGGAGCATCTGTTTCACAGCGCCGGAGGGGTTC